AAAAAAAAAAAAAAAAAAAAACACGAAAAAAACTCACCTGGTCTTCCATGCCTGAATACATCGTTGATGTAGGTAAGACCCAAAACGATGTTTTTCCTGATCATGAACTCAAACTGCACCCGATAGATGCTCTTCTCCTTCAACACAAAATTGGGAGCCTTCGTTCCGTTTTTTGCAAGAGGAATCAAAATATCCGGTCGACCCTTCACCATCACCTTGAAGCTCAACACCTCGACTTCCGGCTCCAGCACAGACTCTAAATCCAAAAAGCCGCCATCCATCCACAAACATGGAAACAAATTGCATCATAAGCTCAGGATCCTAGGAACAAAGTGCCAAGCTCACCTAGGTAAATTAATGCACTGTTTATGACCAACTGCACACTTTCCCTCCTCTGCCATTGCTTCACCCACCCAACACACTCAGCCCCCACTAAACCAGCCAAGAAATTACACAGAGAAGCGTCCACTCGCATCAAAGTACGGGTTCAGAAACCTACCGCTGCAGTTTGAAGAGAAGAATTGTAGCATCTTACATCGTCCAGGTGCTAAGAAGTGAAATAAAGTACTCAAAGATAGTTTGCAATACCCAATAGAAGTGGAGCGGTATTCAAGTACTCGCTGGAAAAAAACAACGGGGATTCGCAATCCAATGGGAGCAAAATAGTTTGCATATCTTTTTGGATCGTCATTACTTGTCCGCTTCACCCTACTACTCATCCTCCTCTTTCGCCTGCACAAAGGCTTTCGAAAAATCTCTCTCTCTCTCTCTCTCTCTCTCTCTCTCTCTCTCTCTCTCTCTCTCTCTCTTGAACAGCTATAAAATCCGCCACCGTAACTTTCAGTACTCCAGTGGGCTAATCGTGCACCGCACTCAACTTGTTTCTTTTACTTCGGCACTTCACTCTAGCAACATTAATGATTAATCATTTATCTGTAAATCAACCACCAGAGCCACTCTTTATTTCTACCCTGCTTTAACTGTTACAGTGAATCATCCGATGCAAGCCTTCTCTCAAGCCCAACACACAGTTTCAGAGCTACGGCAAACTCCTTTTTCTCCCTCGGCCATGTCCAGAAAGCCATCCTATGGACCCACGCACCTGTTGTTGTGCATTAAGGAAAAAGATGTTCTCCTTTTTCTTGACAGATCGGTTCGTGTTTATGATCTTAGCCACCAGAACAATAAACCTCCCCTGCTACAAGCTAAGGCAAGACCAGGTCCGGATCTAGTGTGCTCCAGACCTCACTATGGAACAGACCAGAGTTCAAATCCTGACCAATACAGCAACGATAGGGGATACCGTTCTCACGGAAGAAAGGACTAGAAGGAAAATAAACAAAAACAAAATCCACACGATTCCAGTGCTGAAAACCCGGTAGGACCGGGGCCGCCACCCCCGACCGGAACCGGTCGGTCCACCGGGCCGGCTCCCCCCCAGTGGGCCATAGCACATTGAACGTTGGGGGTCGGTTCGATTTTTTTGGGGGCCAGGAGGCCTCCACAGCCTGCGTGAAGGTTGCCTAGCCCGAAAAAAAATTGAAACGGGTCCGGTAGGCCCACCCAAAGGGTTTGAAAAGGGCGGTCTATCTGGACCGTCGATCTGGAGAGATTGGCAGCCCAGATAGGCCACTATTTTCAAACCCTTTGGAAGGGAGTACCGGCCCTACCCCACCCACCGGCCTGCCTCTTTCGTCCCCGGCCTCAGCCCTCCTCCTGCCCCCAACCTGCCACCCGTTCCCTTCCCTGCCCATTCAACCTTCGACAGTCGGAACTGCCAGCACACCCTCCCCGCCGACTCCAGCCCGTCGAGCCCATAGTCACCATCGCCACCATCCCTAAGAGCCACCGGTAAGTAAGCAGTTTCTCTTGTTCTTCTTCTTCTTTGCTTCTTTCTTCTTCTTCTTCTTCTTCTTCTTCTTCTTCTTCTTCTTCTTCTTCTTCTTGTGCTAACTGCCACAGTAGTTAAGCGCGCGCGGTCGTTGGTGGGCGTGCTGTAGTTGGTGGGCACGCAGCAGTTGCTTCAGTAGTTAGTTGGGGGGAGAGAGAGAGAGAGAGAGAGAGAGAGCATATCCGAGAGAGAGAGAGAGAGAGAGATTTCAGGCACGCGGTGGCTGGTGTGGTGGTGCGCGGTGGTACGGCACGCACGCTAGTTGGAGGTAAACACAGACAGAACGAGAGAGAGAGAGAGAGAGAGAGAGAGAGAGAGAGAGAGAGAGAGAAAGAGCATATCCGAGAGAGAGAGAGAGAGAGAGAGAGAGAGAGAGAGAGAGAGAGAGAGAGAGAGAGATTTCAACCCCCGACCCCCAAGCCCTGAAAATAGAACGCCTTTCCCTTTGCTAAAAGTTGAGAAGCCTTGCCTCATCTGTATGAGGTCCATGACCTATCACAGGAAGGCCCACAAGCAGTTCTAACAGAGTTCAAATTTCAAATTTGTCACCTGTCTTCAAGCCACTAGTGGCTCTTTTGAAGTCACTGCGGTGTTCATAGGTGTTTAGGGAAGCATTGATAGAAGCATCTGTGAGCAGCACTACCCATGGAAACACTTAGGTCCACATGTGTTTATGTGATTTGGGTTATTTGCACAGAATCTGACGCCTCTCTTTGATCGCACCTGGACAACTACCTGCCTCGGTACAGATTACAAGCGCCACCCTCTGCACCATCAGATGTATTATGTCAGACAACAGCACACAAAAACGTAAATGAGCTGGAAGTACCAGAGGCATTCCTGTGCCTCAACGTATGAATTTGTGCTTTGTCTCATTTGTGCAGTGGTTCTCTTCGATTGCACCTGGGCAAATACACGCCGCAGTACAGGTTACGCACCTGACCATCCACGTCCAGGAGCACTTTAACGGAGCTTCGGTAGAACGAATTCAAAGTGCAGAGGTATTTTGTCAAGAACCCCTTCTCATAAAGAAAGGTCTACCGACCTTCTCCACACAACTCAATTTTTTATTTTTGTTTTCGTACAAAGCCATTGATACACCAAACGCAAAAGGATCGCTTTTATTGTCATATACCCCTAGTTGCTATTTGGGCACCAACTTCTGATGTGATGTCCTACTCATAGGGGTTCCGCATTCCCAACAGTACATTGAACACATCGATACTCACAAAACAGAGAATCCACGCAAATAGGACCTTTCCCCTGGACCCCAGGGCTAGCCTTCTTCCTCGAAATAGAACGCATGCGTCGCATGGTCATTATACCTGTATTTTTTCTGTATTTGACGCAACTTTCAGTCTAGATACAAGTAGAATGGTTGTGCAGCTCAGACACTTCAAGAAGGAAAGGAAAGCTTCAGTGAGCGAGTTTCTGATGGTTTTCATTTCCGTTTTTTAACTTTTTTTTTTTTTTTTTTCCCTTGCGGTTCTATGTTAATTGCTACAGTGAGACAAAAACAACTGCTGACGGTTGATGGTTAGTCTTTTTTTGTTTTTTTTTTATTTGGAACTTCTCTCCCTCATGCGCATCCTGCCTGTGAATAGTATAACAATTGAAATCTGCTGCACATCATCATCGTCAGTCAGTACGCTGTCTGCACACCATCGTCTCTACCAGAGTTCATCACAGGACATGGCTACAGTCTTCAACCGAATAGAACATCGGGTCATTATAGCTGTATTTGGGCCAACTTGCAGTCTAAATACAGCGATAATGACCGGGCGTTCTATTCGGGTGAAGACGGTAGGTATGATGTAACTTTTTGCGGAATGGTTTACAAAAGCGGCCGCCCATTACATGAGCATAATACGATCGAACTGGACAGTCTCAGAGTCTCCACTCAGACACGCAATCGAGCAGCGTGGCAGCATAACGTCCACCACTTAGTGCGATATTGCTGATTACCAGAAATTATGGGACGATGGACCGACTCCGAGGTCGATCAACGACTAAATGTTGGTGCTGAGGTCTCTCTCCTGAACCACCGCACCCCGCTTGCGCACCTTGGATCCGTTCCGTTCCATGCTTCATCTACACTTATAATCCATGTGTCACAAACTCCTTTCGACTAAGCTCTCCATTCCAGGTAAGCTTACAGCACACCTCACTTAATACTCTTTCCAGCGGACCGAGTCTCTTATGGTTCCGTCACACCAATCCGTGTGGTGTATGTGCGCTCAGTCACACTAACTCGTGTGGTGTACTCGTACTAATCCAGGCTACTGTATACCCTAATCCCAACTCCTGCCAGTTCTTTCACATCAACTGCATCCCAGCTCTTCCACTGGGACCAACCCAAGGCTTGGTGGTGCATAACTTAAAATACAAAGCACACCAAATCTGGGATACTGGAGGTACAGGCAAATTTTAAATTCAACATTTACGTATGACCGATTATCAGCACCCATGAGGAGAAAAAGGCAACGAGTAAGCCAGGCTCTTCTAGGCAATTGTTACCCGTACCAGCACCCGTACTGACGACAGAGCAGGGCCAAGCCCTCTCTCTCCAAGCCCTCTCTCTCTCTCTCTCTCTCTCTCTCTCTCTCTCTCTCTCTCTCTCTCTCTCTCTCTCTCTCTCTCTCTCTCTGTGTG